TTAACAGATGTTAACCTTCTGGATGCTTTGACATTAAATGTTAAAACTCATGGTTATAACTATTCTGCAGGGACAGAAGTTTTCTGTATCTGTTATAGAATCTATTTCAAGCCTTTATTTACTCTTAACCCAAGATGTAAAAGAGTTGATAAAGATATTAATGAAACTATTCTTATAGAAACCAATTTTAATAGATCTAAGATCCAAACCCGTAGATCTATCAAATGGGATGAAATAGTTTTCCCTGAAGGATGGTTCCTAGATAGGAATATTCCTAGACAACCTATTGTTCAAAGTGATTTTAGTAATATCACTCAGACAGATGATGGTACTGTCTATATCCAATTCGACGATCCTCGCAATATTCCCTATACTGAGACCAGACCTCTTTTAAGGTCTCAGTCTTTATCTCATGGCATTCATAGCTTTATTTCTCCTTTTGGGACTAAAGCAAGCCAGCCATCCTTAGTCCAGCCTTCTAGGGCTTCGACCTCGTATTTACGAGACACTCAAGCTCGATCTTCTGAGCCAGAAGAGAATATTGAATCCTCCTCTCAGCAGCCTTTTGATGAACTTAGAGTTCATAAAAATGGTATTGTTCATAACAATCCAGTTGCTCAAGTAAGTAACAGACAACCTCATAGGATGGTAGAGACCATGTCTGATTTTAATCTATAAGTTTTTAATGAATTTTTCTTCTTCTAGAAGTTGGGTCACTAGTGAGGGAAAGATAGATTTCACTCATGGTTCTCCTGCTAGACAGCTTGTCTRCAAAGATTACTATGGTAATCCAAAATGGGCTCTTTTTAGAACCTGGTATGTTGAAAACTTTTCAAAGGAATAAATTGCTAATTTCTCTGCAGAATTTTATGCCTTCTGCACAAAGGAAAATGAAACTTTTTCTTTTATTCCCTGGTTTTTCCATACTCATGTAAAACATTTTATAAATGTTCTTTATGAATGGAAGGTTATGCCCTTCGGGCTTAAAAATGCTCCCTCTGAATTTCAACAGATTATGAATGACATCTTTTATCCTTACAGTAATTTTATTATTGTTTACATTGATGACATTTTAGTTTTCTCTAAAGATATTGAGAGTCATTTTAAGCATCTTAATATTTTCAAGACTCTTGTTATCCAAAATGGCTTAGTCATATCTAAACCTAAAATGTCTTTATTTCAAACYAAGATAAGATTTCTTGGTCATGATATTGAAAAAGGAACGATTATTCCTATCCAACGCAGTATTGCCTTTGGTGATAAATTTCCTGATCAAATTCTTGATAAGACTCAATTACAACGATTTTTAGGAAGCCTGAATTATATTTCTGCTTACATTCARGATTTAAGTCAATATACTTCTCTTCTTTATGATAGACTTAAGAAAAAATCTTGTTCTTGGACTGATAGTCATACTTTAGCTGTACAAGAAATTAAGAAAAAGGTTAAAAACCTCCCCTGTCTCATGCTTCCAAATCCCCTTTGGAACAAAATTGTTGAGACTGATGCCTCTAACTTAGGATATGGAGGTATTCTTAAACAAATTGATCCCATTTCTAAGCAAGAATTTCTTGTTCGTTTTTATTCCGGCAAATGGAACAATGCCCAGCTTAACTACTCTGTTGTAGTTAAAGAGCACTTTGCTATTGTTAAATGTGTTCTTAAATTTCAGGATGATTTATATAATCAAAAGTTTTTAATAAAAACTGATTGTAGCTCTGCTCAATTCATGTTTAAAAAAGATTTTAAACATGATGTTTCTAAGCAAATGTTTGCCAGATGGCAAGCCCATCTTGCTCCTTTTGATTTTGATATACAGCATATTAAAGGCAAAGATAATCATTTGCCTGATTTCTTAACTCGTGAATATCTTTCCTAATTTTCAGGTACCTTGGAGATCAACCAAATGTGTTGTGCATGAGCTCATATAGCTCTTACTCCTCTTATAGAGGAGCTGGCAGCTCTTCCCATGGGAGAGGCCGAGGTGGCAGACATTCCTCTAATAGGGGAAGAGGAAATAATGTAATTGCCCAGATGGGTAAACAAAAGCTTATAGCTTCAGACTTATCACATGATAAGGAAAAAGATATTCCAGGATTCTTGGGTGATATCCCAGAAGACCATCCTCTAGCAGAGGCATACCTTAATTATATTAAGGAGAAGAAAGCCAAAGAATCTTTGGCCGCTGCAAATTCTTTTGCCAATATCAGCAAGGAAGATTCCTCCAATTCTCAATTTCATGAAACTGGTGAAAAAGAAGTTATACTTCTGCTCGAAGATAAAGATCTTCAATGGAAAGATAATCCTGATTTTATTCTACAAAGATATCTTCATAAGACATCTTTTGTTCATGGTTCTTTGAGACAACGCCAATTTTATGAAGGCTTGCTTATTTCTACAAAATCTGTAGAAATCACTCATCATTCTTCTAATAGTAGAGATGAGATAAATGGCAATTTTAATTTTTCAAAACTTGTCATCAAAAAGATTATATCTTTTGAAGAATGGGGTTTTTCCCCTCTTGCTGAGCGAGAATGGTTTTCACCCGCTCATAAATRCAATTTCAAGTTTAATTATTGGGATTATATCCATGGTTTATCTAAAGTTCTACTTTATGATAACGAGAACAAAAGACATTCTTGGTTCTTGAAAATTTGTGAAAATTGCTTCCATTCACCRATWCCTAATTGGTTYTTCTCYTSRTGGAAAWWTTTTGGARCTAGTTCTTCTATTTTTCCAGATYATATGAAATCTTATATTAAAGATTGGATGTTATATTCTCCAACAGTCAATGACTGTAAAAAACTCTATCAAATTGATAGTAGTAATGTTTGCCTTTTCTTTATAGAATTTGGCATTCCATGGATTTGGAAATGGAAGCCAATATTTGGCTATGATCATTATATGATCCCTTGTCTCAAGCGTCAAGGACTCTCAAAATATTGGGAAAAACTAGATCGTATGTGTCCAAACTCCTCTGCTATTGAAGGAGCTGATCTTTATGATGCCATCGTCAAGAAAATTCAAATTTATAAGAAAGAATTCGAAGATCGCCAACAGACCACTACCAGTTCGGATATCCCGAGTCCCTTCCAACAACTCTCCCAGAAATACGCTGGTACTTTATCCAAGGATGAGATAGTTGATCTCTACATAGAGAATATGAAGAAAGATCTGCATCAAAATCTTTCTCAACCTTCCGATAGTTCCATGAACTCTGACATACAGCAGGATGTTCAAAGCGTCGAAGGCTCCGAAGAGCTAGTCGTCTCCATTGATGAAGCATTAGAATCTCTCAAAGACTCTATAAAGCAAAGTAAGTAGCTTGCTTTAATAGTCTTTTTGACATTTTTGTAAAAAGTTCTTTACTTTCGGCCATAGTAGCCGACAACTTTTATAAAGTTGCTTTTTCTTTTAGAAAAGAAACTTTTGCTTTAATAAAGCAGTTTCCTTTTTAGCTATATAGTCAGCTGTCCTTAATAGGACTTTTATTTTTATATTTATAGAGAGGCATGTCTCTCTCTTTTCTCAGAGTTTTCTTAGGGAGTGTTTTCATTTTCCAGTTTTTCTTTCCAGTATTGTAATCAAGTGTGGTGAATAAAGAAATAAGACGAACAAGCTTGCCGACAGTGGTATAAGCTTTTTGTAAGTCCCTTGTTCTTTCTTTTACTTATATCTCCCAGTTTCTTGCCGCCTTCATGGCCGGCTAAGTTAGGACTATGAGTTAAAACAATTTTTGATTTGATATGCTAATAGATTTACATGGATTGGTTTATATGTTTAGATTTAGTAAAAATCTTCAATAACAGTTGAGTTTACCTCTGTGATCTCTGAGACTGGTTTTCACCCGCTGAGGCCAAAAGAGCCGTTTAGGGTATTTAAAACCTTGGTTTGAGATTTGAGGCAAACTTATCTGTTTTGATCGTTTTTGTTTAGATCTGGGACATAGATGGTACCAGAAGTAATAATAAATTCATATATTATATTATTATTAAAATATTTTCAATACCAAGTAATGTCTTTTATTTGACAGACGGATGAATTTTGTTACAATAATTGAAAATATGTCCCTTGTAATTTAAGCTTTACAACTAAAATCAGGTTCATATATTAATTTTTTTATTAACCTGGATATCCAACCTGCTATGCGAGCCGACTAATCCTAAGAAGACCACCTGCTTTGCAGATAACCCGAAGTCACCGCATTTGAACCTCCGTGGCCACAAGAGAATTTTTATTCCTTCTTGGATTTGAACATGTGACCTCCTGTTGACCTTTGGAGTCAAGCTCAAACCAATCAGATACCACCCTTGTGGTTTTAATTTTGAATTAACTTGTTTGATAAGCAATCTCGTCATTTTAACATTTTTGTCATGCCAAGATTATACAGATAACTTCTCAAACACTGTTAGTTGTACCAAACGCCAGACAGACCATTAATTCAGTCCATCCTAGTTAAGACCAAACTGTATTCTAAATATTTTGCAAAAGTTGAATCATATGTTTGCAGTGTTTATCATAACATCATTTACATAACCGATATAACTGAAACTAAGGTGACATTTTGGGGGGTGTAAAACAAACCTCTTTACCCATACAACATCTAGGGCTTCGACTAGGTGTTCCTGTGACTGAATTTGAATTCGGTTCATCGCTTAAAAATGCTGTATACGAAGCCTTTTCAGCTTTTAACAAACCCAATTTCCCTTCTATGTTGTTCATCTTATCGATCAGAGTGTGCCTTGTACTTATATTGGAAACGGAAATACCTGAGATTCCGGAAAGATTCACCCCCGGAAGGCTATTGGCTGCCATTGGTGAATTAGGATCGCTTGATACATCTTCTTGAGAAATGTCTCCGATTCTGGAGAGGATGCCGAATGCCACGTTTCCTAGAACACGAGAATAAGCTTCTAGAATTGCATGGGCTATATCCTGTATGCACATTTTCATGATCAACCACATGTTACAGTCTGAAGTAAACCAAACCAAACCAAACCAAACAACACAAACTCAGTATATCCCATTGGAGGCGAGTCTGGGGGTTAAGATGTCTCAAGAGACCGAGAAACTGTTTTTTGAGAAAGTGAATGGGTCGTTTACCGACACAAATTAAGTAAGCACTGATTGAAAATGATTGTTTACCGTCACGTCACTGATTGAGGCATTGACCTAGTCAAACTGCAACCACTTCCTTACTAGGTCAATATATTTGTTGGTCAACATCATCCCTTCTTACTCTTAATGGATACGTGGGTGAAACAATTGTCGAAGATTTTGGTATGCGACTAAACATGATAGGACTGGACAGATAGTAAACACTACAACAAAAATGGGTTTATAGGACACTCTCAATTTTTAAGCGTCTTAATAGACCTTTTTATAGGACTTAATTTATAGGACCAAAAAAATAAAGTGTCCTATCTAAAGGCGTTGTAATAAATTTATATGACGTTTTTCGACGTCGTAATAAGTTTTTTAGGACATTTTTAATATAAAGTGTCGCACTAGCAACTTTATAGGATACTTTTGAGAAAGTGTCCTATAAACATGAGTCATATAAACTTATTACAACACCTTTAGATAGGACACTCTACATTTTGATCCTATAAATTAAGTCCTATAAAGCGGTCTATTGTGACGCTTAGAGATTCGGAGTGTCCTGTAAACTCAATTTCGTTGTTGTGAAAAAAGAAATATCGAAGATTTTAAGGTATTAATTTGACGTGGGTAGTTTAGGTCTTTTAACAGTCTTGTCTCATCTCGTTTGTTCTTGTTCCACTCAGTTCTGTACTGTCCTGGTCTTACGTCATACCAGACAAGGTCTAATGTCGTACCAACGTGGGACAACAAGTTTTTGTTTTGTTAGCTAAAAACACACAACATACCGTTAACAGACTATATCGTGAGAGCCTCTTAATCATTCTGACCACTTAATCATTCTGCACCAAACCATTCATCAACTTCCAAACATCCCCTAACCTCTTCCTATTCTTTAGTCTTGGATGATTAAGCTAAATAACGTTATGTACTGATGATTTGCTCACCTTGCCGTATTGAATCTTCATGACATCAAGAAACGTTTGAGGAAGGTTCGGGTATCGGACTCTGATTTGCTGCAGAAGAACTTCAGCTCGGTTGATCAAAAACTCCATCTTATCGAGCTCCATGGAAGGATCCTTCAAGGACCATGATGTTCTTGCTGGAGATTTAGTGCAGGTTCGTTCCGAGATTCTTTCTTTCCATGCGTATATCGCTGCTTCTAGTCTGTTAACGGTATCGAGGGCGCTGTGTTCAGATTTCAGGTTCAGCAAGTTCAGCATTCCAACAGCTGAAGAAGAGATTGTATTCAGCATCCTATACAGATCATCACCAAGGCTTGCCTTTCCAGACTGCATCATATATAACATAATGGGAGATGTCATGGTTTAACAATATTTTTTTTTATTAATCTGGATATCGAACCCACTATGCGAGCCGACTAATCCCATGGCGACCACCTGCTTTGCAGATAGTCCGGAGTCACCGCATTTGAACCTCCATGGCCACAAGGAGATTTTTATTCCTCCTTGGATTTGAACCTGGGACCTGGTACTTTTGACTTTTGGAGCCAAACTCAAACCAATCAGGCACCACCCTTGTGGTTGGTTTAACAAATTTTGAGGTGTGTTAGAAAGAACCCCTTCCTAGGTGGCAAAGAACGGGCGGATATCGTTCGAGTTAGAAGGCGGATGGTAAGCGAGATAGCGTACCTTGGGAAGTGCCTCTCCGATGATAGTCGGTATAGGCATTTCGAGCAAAATAGCCTCGTTTATGGATTTAGCAGCCTTGAAAATTTGGTGGACCAATTTCGCCTGGTTGAGCAACTTCTTCCTCTCGCCATCGGAGAGCCCGCCTACAGGTACTCGTGGCGTAGGAAGCCACCATCTTTTGCTTTGTTTTACGCTCTTGATCCTTCCTTCCGCTTGGCATCCTCCTTCCTCGTACCAAAATTCCGTAATCGTCATTGCATCTAGCGTTTCCTGCGAGAGTGTTTATGCCAACTCAATGAGTTAGATGAACACTGAGATTGGAAGTCATTTGGTTTTGCTGAGAGTGCTGAAATGGGTTATTCAGCTAACTGACATTTTGACAGGTTTTTTTTAAATCCATGACCTTCTGACGACACAGGTTTCTAGGCATTCTGGGTCATGTATTTCAAAAAACCTGTCAGCGGTCATTTATCTAAATATCCGTGGTGAGACCACCTACAAGAAGCATGGAGTCTAACTTCCGCAGCGCTGGGAGATTCATGTGAACGTCTTCACGAGCTTTTGGTCTCATTATCTGCTTCGATATCAAACGAAACAAGAAACCCTTTTAGTTCATTTAAAGAAAAATATCGAAACTTGGTACGAGTTCGAGTAGGAATTAACGAAATAGACGATGCCTCTAGAGTCCGGCCATTGGCACCGTATTGCTTAGCCGGAACCAACTCAACCATATAGTTCGTAGGTGCAAGCAGCCATTCCATCTCTCTTCTCCACTTGTTCTTTCTGTCCTCTGGCAGAGGCTCCAGTTTCCATAGCTCCCCAAATACAGCTCCTGTAAATCCACAGGCAGCTTAGGACTTAAGTTTATAGGACCAAACAATTACATTTCCTGTATGGAAAAATGCTATAATAAGTTTATAGGATGCTTTTTTCGGTGTTCCAACAAGTTTTTTAGGACACTTTTGAAATCAACTGACACAGTAATATTTCAAATAATGTCATATAAAAAAACTAATACCAGCGAGCTTTGTTATGGCATTCGACAAAGCCAAAGCAGAGGAGTGACCCTTGCGCCCTCCCGTACTATCTTCACCCAAGAGTAGCTTTGCGAATTTTTCTTTCATTATTTTCATGTCGGAGATTTGTACTGCGCATGACGGTTCCTCGTTGGCGATGGATTGTCGTGAGCTCTCTGAGTACTCCCATTCGTGCTCGTCCCTCTTCATCATCGTCCACTGAGAAGAAAATGATCCGGAAGCGTTGTTGCTAGAAGAACAACTTGAACCATCTTCGTCAAGGGAGTCGGTTGGACATTCGTCTCCTCTGCTCGCGACACTTTCATCCTCACAAGAGTTAGCATTGAGAATGCAGCTCTCAAGCCCGTTATACGTCATAATTCCTGAAAGTTTCGGTTTTTCGTTTAGTTCTTCATTAATGAACGTTTGAGATCAGATCGAGCGAAATGTAAAATGTATTATCGCAAATAACTAGTTTGCTAAACATAGCTTAAGAACCTCAACACCGAATAAGTCGTTTCTTGCTAAACGGTTTCTATAAGTCGTTTTACGTCTTAATTAACTCTTCCTAGAGGCAACAAAAAATCCTTTTACGCATTGCCCTCTTTCCGGTTAGACTTGAACCATTTCTCTTCATAAATTTATGTTGAAGCCTCCATTTTCTCGTTATGGACTCTTATGAAGAGTAATCTAACGTGGCTTTTACATGTTATCAGAGCCACATTTTGTAAGTAAACATGTTATTCACATCAAGCAAGTGTAGGGGATACCAATAATTATAAGTTGCTTTAGAAAAAAGAAGAAGAAAAGGTAACGTGGGAATCCCAGAAACCGAAGATGATCCAACAAGAAACAAGAGCTTAGCATGTGTTTGATAACTTTCCAAAAGCTATAAAATGACCTAATTGTCCCCACCACCACTTTTGAGTGTCTTGTACTTATTTCCTTTGTGGGTGTGATACAACCAAATACCATGCAATAAATCAATTTAATATCTGAATGAATAAGATTGATTGAAGCGTGGAGATATCTTCTTATGTTTTTTAATCATAATTTTTGTTTTATTTTTTTTGCAGTGACAAATCCTGTATGTGTTCTTAAGAAAAGGGATTTGTCCAATTTTCACCTAGGCTTCATCCTGGTCATGAGTAGATCACCCAGGTTCAGGTCATAAGCAGTGACAATTACCCTATTAAAACTGGCTGAGTTTAATTCGTGACGTCATCATAAAAAATTATACGTTATATATTTAAAAAAATATTGAATTTGAATTTGAATTTGAATTTAAGTGGTGACACATGCAATAATGGAGTTTGAGAACCATCTAAGTTGTTACTTTCAAGCATGTGATCGTAGTGGGTAGAGAAGGATCAAAGTCCAAGCACTATTCACTATTATAAGCATAAATCACGCCATTTTTTCAAACACACCTATTTTTGAATTTTTAAAGCTATTTATTTATTTATTTATTTATTTATTATTATTATACAAAGACTCGTGAAATTATGCATCAGAGGCTCAATCTATTTTATAAGATATCTTTCTAGATTCTGACATTTTAGATAGACTAGTTTGGCATCATTTCTCTTCAGATCTTTTCTCCTTTGTTTCCTATTGGCATTTTTTCAGAATTGATGGTCAGAAAAGTCCTTGGTGGTTTTTATTATGAACTTGTGGCTTGGCTTCCTGGGTGTTTGAGATTGCTTATAAAAAACAATTTATTGACTTATTCCGGTGTGACACCGGTAATAAGTATTTTTGAGTGTTTGGATAAACAACTTATACCAGTGGTGCTAGGTAGTAAGGAGTTTTTGAAGAAATTAAACCCTTCTAACTTATAATAAGTTGAAAAAGACTTTTGTAGAAAAACATAAGTTGTTTCATATAAGCAATCCCAAACAACCCCGAAGATGGGTTTACTTGTATGGATGACAGACTTAAATACATGAGCTTTCAAATGCCTTTTAACTGACTTATAAATTCATAAGGAAGTGGCAGAAAGGAAAAATATACAACCCTCTGTGAGTTATATATATATATATATATATATATATAAACAACCCCGAAGATGGGTTTACTTGTATGGATGACAGACTTAAATACATGAGCTTTCAAATGCCTTTTAACTGACTTATAAATTCACAAGGAAGTGGCAGAAAGGAAAAATATACAACCCTCTGTGAGTTATATATATATATATATATATATCATAATTGGTGCAATTCATCTAAAAACAATGCTAATTTATAAGAACAAATTTCAAGATAGTAGCCAAACTAATTACCCATTTATGACTTGGACGAATCAGAGCATCTCCAACGGAGGTTCTTACTTTTTACACCTTTTATTGCCATCTCATCAAATTAAGAACTCGTCAAGAACTCCACAACGGTGGTTCTTATAAGAACCTTGCGTTGGAGATGCTCTTTGATGCAAGATAGTTGAAATTAAGGCACATGAATCGTTCTCGGTTTTGAATCTGTATCCAAATACGTATGTGTTTGAGATCGAGATCGAGATCGAGAGAGAGAGAGAGAGCGCGCTTACTGTTTGGTGGTTGATCGAAGTCGATGCTACTGTTGATTTCTCTGTTCCATGTACAACAAGCGAGCCTCCTCCTCAATAACACCATCTTCAATGGAGTATTAATAACACAAGACTTTGCAGATGCTGTTTTGGGCGGGAATTACAAGAACAAGGAAACGATGAACAAGTTTACATTCTCCTAATTGTTTAATATATACATATATATATATATATATACACACACATATATATATATATATATATACACACATATATTTTTTTTTTGCATAAAGAGCGACAATAAAAGTTCAAGCTTTATGGGCCTATAATAATTGTATTAGTTGGACAAAGACACATCTGGGTCAGCATCTCGATTAATCCCATGGCCGTTACGAAAATCCTCGAGTGGTCTTACATGACTTAAACTGTTACCTCTTAGGAAGATTCTGTAAGACGTGACATTTACTGCTGGTTGAGCTAACCCCACAAAGTCTTGTCATGTTTAAAGCTAGTAGATTCAAACAATCCTCTTGACGTCAATTACTCGTAACGGAAATGATGGGACCGACGTAAAGAGATTTGTTTAAAAGTTTTACGTATTTGTCTCTTAAGTGCTTGTTACACGATGTCGGTGAGATTGTTCGAATCTCTTCGAAGCAACCGACTAATAATAAAGGCTACCGAGCTTTTAACTAGTAAATAAAGGTCTCGTTTTGAGGCTATTCCTCATAGATCGTTAGTTTGAGTATGCTCGTGCTACTGTATTGTTCTTCTAATATTATTTTTAGTGTCCAATAAGATTAGTCGAGGTGTGTAAATTAAAAATGATACCGGTGAGATTAATTGTGGTTCATAAGTTTCCGAACTTTGACTTGTTAAAATGAATTTTTAAAACCACAAGAGTGGTGTCTAATTGGTTTGAGCTTGGACTCAAAATGTCAAAAGTGTCTGGATGTCCCAGGTTCAAATTCAATGAGGAATAAAAATCCCCTTGTGGCCACGGAGGTTCAAATACGTGACTCCGGGCTACCTGCAAAGCAAAGCAAGTGGTCGTTCTGGAATTAGTCGGCTCGCATAGCGGGTTGGATATCCAGGTTAATAAAAAAATGAATTTTTAAGTATTTGATTATTAGTAAAAAAGAATTATAATGTTGTATAGTTTTGTGAAAATTTCAGAAAAATCCAATGAATTAGCCCATTTTTAATGATTAAGTACTCGAACTATTTTTTTTTTATTGAAAAAATCATTAAACTTTTTCATTTTAAATGATTAAGTCCCTAGATTATTTCTTTTAAATGAAAAAAACCATTAAACTTTCTCGTTTTAAATGATTAAGTCCCCAGACTAACTTTTTGAATGAAAAACCATTAAACTTTCTCATTTTAAATGATTAAATTCTTGAACATTTTTTCTTCAATAAATTAAACTATTGAATTTTTAAGAAATTGGTTACTTATATCATTTTAACCCAAAAGACACTACCGGTAATCGACTAGAAAGGTCTTAAAATAAAACTACTTGTAACCCCCTAAAAATAGATCAAACAATGGGAAATCAATAGTATGGTTCAGCCGTGTGATAGCCGATATAAAGAACAGACAACGATGGGGTGACAAGGAGTGACGAGGGTGAGTGATACCGTTGTTTGAGAGGGGTTTGAAGGACGTAGGGTTTGTCAATGGTAAAACCAATTTAGATTGTTCTCCCCTACTTTAAGACCTTTCTAGTCGGTTACAAGTAGTTTTTTTTTTTTTTTTGTTAAAAAGATGTAGACAACCAATTTTTTAAAAGTTCGATGGTTTATTTATTACAAAATATATGTTCAGAGACTTAATCATTCAAAATAAGAAAACTTAATGATTTTTTCATGAAAAAAAATAGTTTACATACTTAATCATTTAAAATGAAAAAGTTTTAGGGGCCGTTTACTAAACACTTACCAGGTAAGCGCTTACCGGTAAAATTTAACACTATCACTTGCTTTATGGGTAAGATTTTAGTCCACTAAAATGGCATTGCATGCAACAATGTCGTCACCATCACTTACCAAGTAATTCTTCTCGGTCCTTTGCTTTCGCTCTTACCATGTAAGGTTCTTGGTCCTTCACATATTCATTCAGTAAGGTAATGTGATTTGGTAAGCGCTTACCCGGGTAAGCGTTTGGTAAACGACCCCTTATTCTTATTACTTTTTATCGTAATGAACCCATAAACTTTCATTTAAAGAATTCGAACATCCGTACTTTTACTCTGAACAACTTTTTCGTCATTGATCACGACAGATGCCAATTCCCTGCCTTTTATGGGTTCTCAAGCTTAACGAGACATCGACATTGTAACAAACATCAAAAAAGACGTAACCAAATAGCATATTTAATTTAAAGTAGTTACAAATAAAAGAACCGGAAACAATAAAGTGATATCAAAAGTTCGCTAAAAATCGATTTAGATAACGACCCATGCCCAAAAAGTATATCTACACGAATCTTCTTTCCATAAACCAAAACGATTGAGACGTCATTGGGTGGTATGTAATTGAAAAGTATTTAACGTTCATTTATACTTTTGAAAACTTAAAATCAATTTATAAAACTGTACATATACTAGTTATACTGATATCTTTTGATATCAATCTGTATATAGGACTTATATAAAATGAAACGTGATCGAATTCTTCCACTAAAGATTCTGTTGTCGTGTAGAATAACCAGATTACATTTACGATAAGTTTTTATCTGATAAAAACCATCTATGGTGTATAAAATTGAATTGGATATTGTACGACACAAACCCTTGAGTTGTTCTATGTGAAATATATACACAATAAACAAATATTCGTGTGTATTTTATTATATTATCATAAATCTATATTACCTTATAAACCAGATTTATCAAAAGTCTTAAAACAATTTTTAATGCACAAGGTATTATACATTTATGCACGAAGTCTTAAAAGTCTTAAAAAGAACTCATAATGCATTAAGTACTACTACCTTATGCATTCAATATAAAATCTCTTAATCTACAATTAAAATAACATATAGTGCAAGTTACTAATACACATTATTACCTTTTTTCTTTTCATGTTCCCAAGATACTTTTGACACATTTCACTCATGTTTTTACCCTCTTATACCTCCATGTCTTCTCTCCATCCCCAAAGGTGAGATTCAAACTGATATTCACCATGAGTTATTAAAAAGTTCTCTCATTCAATTGCTCTAGAACTCTCGATCTCGCTCTCGATTTTTTGATTCTTTGCTCTTGGTGTAAATAGAACACATTTGTGAAGTCGTTTAAATATGTTGGATTTTAAATATATTGGATTTTAAACTGTCATACAAATTTTCCATCGATAGACTGTAATTGGAACCATAACTCTTATGTATTCAAATTGTATTAATATGTAAAAACCAAGTGTAACTTATATCATCGTTAAATCTTCTCTAATAAAACCAGTGAAACTTCAAAATCATCAAAATTCATAGCTCCCGCCGCATTACGCGGGTACACAACTAATATATTAATAAATATGTACTGTTGTCGATAACCAACTGTTATCCAAATAAGTATGCAACAATTTTATTACCATTAAAAGGAAAGAGGAAAAAAACATATAAATCAAGGTGTAACCAACTTGCAATGTATTACATTTAAGAAGTCAATGAGGATTTGACATGTTGAAATTTATTTGCATTTTTGGGTTGATTTTAATGAAAAAAACAAAACCGAAGACATTATTGTTTTTTTGGATATCAACCAAAAAATACAAATAAAATCTGTACGACATACAAAAAAAAGCTGTATCATCGATTAACTTGTTTTTCAGTGTTGTACAGCTTGATAGTCATTTGAACAACACCAAAAAGCAAGGAAAAAAGGAGAACGAAAAAATAAGTGAAGAAGAAGAAGAAGATTCTGATGGCGGTAACGAGAATCCAGACAAATGCAACCGCTAGCAATTAGCATCGGCAAATTTATATGTTAATTAACGCGTTTGTGTATGTGGGTGCGATGCACGTTCATATAAATGCTAATTACATACAAAACGGAAGATTTCAGGTGCATCAGAACGATTACCAAAAAGCTACTTAGTTAGTTCAAATCTGATTGGATATTTAATCAATCGTTCTAACAGAAGAACAATTTCCGCAATGAAAAGAAGAGGTGTGTACCTTTTCGATTACATAATGTAGTTGTTTAATGCTCTTCTTTCACGGGCGTGATACATAGCTGAAACCGAGACATTCAGAGCAGTTATACATCAAATCCGCATCGCCATTGATGAAGAATGTAGAACGAGAAAGGAGGAAGAGGTGAAAATGAGCAGGTAGATTACCGACGATGTAATGTTCATTCACTTTTGAATCTACCATCGCTGAATCATGCGATTACTGTGTGTGTCGTCGTCAAGCAAGAACGAATTCAGGGGGTAAAGAAAGAGTGAGAGAGAAGGATTCCGTTTTATAATGATGGGAGCTCAGGACCAAGTGGAGGGTTTGTACCCTTTACAATTTGGATATGTGATCCGATAGCTCGAATGAATTTTGAAAAAATTAAATTTTAACTGGTGGGTAATTAAATCTTCCACCAAAGTTTCTGCTGCCATGTAAAATAACCAGATTACATTTACGATAAATTTTTATCTGATAAAAACCATTACAGATTGTATGGTGTATACAATTGAACCCGATATTGTACGATACAAACCCGACAATATATTTGTGAGGTTAGAAATTAACGTAGATGTGTCGATACAAATAGTTGAACATTTGATCTCGACATAAGACAAGTATAATATGCAATGATGATGATGGAGAAGTCAATTTTGTCTCTACTATTTCTATTACAAAGAAAACCATTTTTTTTTTAATATTTGAGAAACAAAATTTGTCAGCTTTAACTATAAGGCTGGTGTCTGATTGGTTTGAGTTTGAACTCCAAAGGTTAAAAGTGTCTGAACGTCCAAGTTCAAATCCAAGTAGGAATAAAGATCCTCCCTGTGGTTATGGAGGTTCAAATGTGGTGGCTCTGGGCTATCCACGAACTGGGTAGTAACTTTGGGATTAGTTGGTTCGCATAGCGGGTTGGATATCTAGGTTAATAAAAAAAAAATTGTTAGCTTTTAAATTAAAGTTGGTATTTATTTTGTATCTAAATGTTTTACTTGGTTTATTTATTTTGTATTTAAATATCAAAA